AGACTCCTCCAAGTCTTCATAAAACATATAAAACACATCAATAGCTACAATAAAAAAAAAAAAAAAACTAAAATAGCGTAATACAGTTAGGGATAAACCTCAAGATAAAATTCTATATTGTACTCACATGCACAAATTGATAGTAGGCCTTAAGCTGCTCAAATACAGGACTCTTCTCTCTTCCTTGTTATCTTGTTCATTCTGTTTTTAAATCTTGTAAGTGTGACTAATACATGTAGCTTTCGTAACCAGAGAAGATCTACTCTGTGTCCACTTTTCTTTCCCCATATATATGATTTGGATGTGAGAACAAAGAAGAGAGAAGAGTCCTGTATTTGAGGAGCTTAAGGCAATAGAATAGAATTTTATCCTGAGGTTTATACCTAACTGCTTTTTTAGTGGTATTTATTGTAGATATTGATGTGTGTTCTATGCTAACTTACAGTATCTAATTAGAAAGAAAGGGCCTGGACCTAAAAATGATTCATGTGAAATAGCTACAAGTGTACTTGCACCATGATGAACTTCTTTTTTCCATAAGAAATACGCAGACCAACCATCCAGTTGAACCATCAGAGAGGTCTACTTTGAGGGGGGGAATATGTCAGGACTTACATTCTCCCCAATCTATTTGGAATCTGTGTGCTTTTGTGTTTCTGACAGAGCTCCTTTCCATGTACCACTTTAAGTTAAAGTGTTTTTGGGTGCTAAATCCCTCTAGAAACTGCAGTGGTGACACTGTTTTAATGATGATGTTTGTAAAAAATATTTAACGCATGGTACGTTTAAACCCGGATGCTGTATGTATACATATGGGGCAAGACTGGCAAGTTATTTTTTGGCTTAATACGGAAGGGAAGTGGAAGAATCTTCACTCAATGTTCTGCTTTATGTTATTTACTTTGGCAGCCATTGCACATGAAGGGTGAAATATATGCAAATCCATTAATCATAATTTTGGCTTGGGAAGATACTTGGAAATATGCAGTATGTTGTCTAAGTCTTTCTCAACATTTGGAACAGTTATGTGTGTAGCACGGTACAGGCCATGCAGCCATTGTTATTGGAAATTAGAGGCTTACTATCTCACAGCAACATCCAATAAGTATACAGTACGTCTTGCATAAAATGTATTAAACTATAAATTATTGCCTGATATTAACGGACGACACCATATTTGCTTTCAATTGCTTTACAATAGCATTCATGATTCTTCATGCAACAATTAGTTCCTTAAAAAAAACCATTTTATAACCCAAAAGACACAATTCAGGCAAAACTTTCACTGCCAGAAACACTTATTTGTCATTGTTATGTTACTTTTCAAATCTTGTTCTATTGCAGTAACATTACATTACTTTACATTAAGTTACTAATGTACCTAAAAGTAAAAAGTAAAAAGTGTTAAAAATGCATGCTTTCTACAAAAAAAAAAGACCTAGGTGATGCAGAAATATATTGCATAAAATATACAAAATTTTACCAACTAACAGTAACATGATGCTACAGAATAGTGGCAAAATAACTCTTAATAAGGGCATGAATAAAGGCTTGGTGCATAGAACATTATCCTCTTTTATAATTAATGAGTTTAGTAAGGAGCATAACTCAAGAAGGAATTAAAGGGTTACTCCAAGCACCATGACCACTTCAGTTATGTCAAATGGTCATGTTGCCTGGAGTCTGTATGTTCAGCGTTTTGCTATGAAATGCAAAATGTTTGACTCTTTTGCTGCTGGGGGTGTAACAGCACCTCTGGTAGCACCATTGAAGTCATTAGCCAGCCAGAAAAAGTCAATAATGTCAGTTCTGTGCATATTGGATGACTGATGTCAGCACACACAGCATGCTGGCGACAGGCATCCAATAGTGGCATGGCCCTCCTCTGTGTTGCCCATATCCTCCCCTTAGCCCACCCTCCCTGACATCAATCTTCCTCCAGTGATGTAAATGGAGAAAAATTGGGCTGAAGGAGGACCAGTAAGTGTTAGGTTTTTGTTAGTTTGGAGGGTGGAGTACCAATTTAGGAAGGGTTACTCTGACCAAAAACAGTGTTTACTTCGCTTGGAGTAAACCTAGGCAGCATTCATATATTAACCTACATTCTTAAACTGTGTGCATGTGCAATTATTATTGTATGTGTCACATATAGTTGTATTGTCTTGTAATAGTTTTTTATGAGACAGGGCACTTGTAGGTTGGGGTGGGGGGTGGGTTGGTTTCCCCACTCATGCGGCTATTGTGGCAGAAAACGCAGACCCCCGTGAATTAGGTCCGTGTGGGGTCTTAAGAGTATTACCGTTACCTGCCACAAGCCTGGGGGGTTTCCCGCTCTTGGAGAGAGAGGGAAAGGGGGGGTTAGGAGCTGGGTCCTACAATACATTGAGCCGGCTGCTGTGTAGTGGGTGGGGGGGAGGGTGGAGGAGGTTAGGAGCTGGGTCACACATTTAAACTTCAACCGGCTGCTGTGTAGTGAGAGGGGGTTAGGAGCTGGGTTACCAAATTAATTAACCGGCTGCTGTGCAGTGAGCAGCGGCAGGGGGGAAGAGGAGGAAGAGGGGGAAGGGGAGGAGGGCTGGTCTGCATGAGGCCTGATCCCCCGGCGGGAATCAAGACGAATCAGCCCTGACGAGGGGGTTTCTGTCCCCCACAATACTGTAGCCGTGGACCTTGGTGGGTCAGGCTATGTGTAGGCTGCAGACTGGTACAATGATACCAGTCTGCCAACTCACTGTTTAGTAGGAAAACCGGCGGAAAAGTTTGAAAATGTAGCTGTCAGGAGAAACTGGAACCACGCTGGGAACCTGCAATCCAAACGAGCATCTGGACCAGAAGGTGAATGAGGTAAGAGGGACTCCCCCTTTTAAAGGGATATAGCCCCTCCCACAACTTCAGGCCCTGCCTTCCAATATACGTATAATTACAATAAAAAATAAATAAAATAATAAAATTAATAAATAAAATATGGAAACAAAATGTAATACAAATTATATATTCATATGTAATTTCATTCTTAGTGTATTTTGTTATTAATATATATATATTGGTAACAAAATACACTTAGAATGACATTCTATATATATATACAAATAATAGCAAAGATATATATATATATAGATAAATACATATAATTACATAAAAGATTACATTAGTATACACGTAGAATTTAAATACCTATAAATGCATATATATTAAAATTATACGTGTATATTTAAGTAATCTTTTAACATAATTATGTGATTTGATTAATTAAAATTTGATTGGCATACACACAGGGAGAAAGTGCAGAGAATTTAATTCGCAAGCACTATATTTGACCCTGTAACTCTCCAAGACACCAAAAAACCTGTACATAGGGGGTACTGTTTTACTTGGGAGACTTCGCTGAGCTCATATATTAGTGTTTCAAACTGGTAAATTGTATTACAACGATGATATTTTAAGTAAAAGTGAAGTTTTTTGCATTTTTTACAAACGAACTGAACTTTTATGGACTATATTATTGTTGTAATATGTTTTACTGTTTTAAAACATTAATATTTGTGTTTAGTGAAGTCTCCTGAGAATAACAGTAACCCCCATGTACAGGTTTTATGGTGTTTTGGAAAGTTAGAGAGTCACATATAAGGCTTGCATTTCATTTTTTGACATTGAAATTTGCCAGATTGGTTATGTTGCCTTTGAGAGCGTATGGTAGCCCAGGAATGAGAATTACCCCCATGATGGCATACCATTTGCAAAAGTAGATGACCCAAGGTATTGCAAGTGGGGTATGTCCAGTCTTTCTTAGTAGCCACAAACACTGGCCAAATATTAGTTTTTTGCTTTTTTTCCACACAAAAACAAATATGAACGTTAACTTTGGCCAGTGTTTGTGACTAAGTGGCTACTAAAAAAGACTAAACATACTTTCAATACCTTGGGTTGTCTACTTTTTCGATTATGGGGGTAATTCTCATTCCTGGGCTACCACACCTTCTCAAAGGTAACATTACTAATCTGGCAAATTTCAATTTGAAAATGGAACGTTCTATATTTGACCCTGTAACTTTCCAAAACACCGTAAAACCTGTTAATGGGGGGTACTGTTGTACTCATGTGACATCGCTGATTACAAATATGTGCATTTTTTTGTAGTAAAATCTAACAGTATTATGACATTCACAGCTAAAATGTCAGACGAAAATAAAAATGTAAGAAAAAAATCTAATTTTCTAACATTTTTTAAAATTTTATTCATAATAAATTATGTTCCATATATGAATAGTTAATGATAAATGAAAGCCCTGTTTCTCCTGAACAAAATAATATATAATAAGTGTGGGTGCACTTAATGTGACAGCGGTGAATTACGGTTGAACAGACATATAGCGCAAATTCCAGTTTTTGTTTACGTTTTGTTTTGATCAGAACGTGCACTATTGACTCAGTTATGAAGGGGTTAACCCCTTAAGGACTGGACTGTTTTTGCGATGTTGTACATTTGCGACCAGGCCTCTTTTTACACTTTTGTGGTGTTTGTGTTTAGCTGTAATTTTCCGCTCTCTCATTTACTGTTCCCATACAAATTATATATTGTTTTTTTCAGGACAAAAAGGGCTTTCTTTACAGACCATTATTTATATAATCTCATGTAATTTAATTAAAAAAAAAAAATATGATGCAAAATTGAAAAAAATACATGTTTTTTTACTTTTACTTGAAAAATCTTTTACTCTTCTACAAAAGCTAATGAAAAAAACTGCTAAATAGATTCGAAATTTTGTCCTAAGTTTAAAAATACCCAGTGTTTACATGCTTTTTTGCTTTTTTTTGCAAGTTATAGGGCTATAAGTACAGGCAGGATATTGTGGTTTAAAAACATACATTTTAAAATTTATCAGTAGTGACATTGTAACACTATTATCTGTCATAAATC